AATGATGGCTAATAAAGGTAAGAGGCTGTCCAAGTCTGTATTTCTAATTGCCCTTTGCAGGCCGAGGTTCCACCCAAAACCAGAAGTGGAGTCTGAAGGAACTAAAAAAGAAGAGATAGGTTCATTTTTCAAATCTGACAGAGCATACAAGGAAGGAAACTGGTCCTTCAGAGGTGAAACCCCAACCCAAAGATGTTCCCAACATTTTATTCGATTGCCAGAATTAACATCGTACCTGATCCTAATTAGCCTCCTCTTTTTGGCACTTGCTTAACCTCTCACATTCCAACTAATTATCTTCATTCTAGCATCTGAAAACAGTCCCTGAGAGTTCCTCCTGATTAAGTTCCTTTTCCTTTACCGTTCTCCTTTTCATAAATTATTTCAGTCACCAGTTTCTCTACTTCACTCTTCTTTTTCCTCTTCTCTTTATCCTTTCTTAAGTGAACTTTTATTTTTGCTGAAATCTCCAAGATACCCTTTTCTTTTGGATTTTGTTTTCTTTTTCTGGTTCTGGAATTCTCCTGCAGGGAACACGAAACCATTTCCAGCACCACTCCTTTTCTCCTCTTCTTCTAAAAGGGTAGAAAAATTGTTCATCACTAGACTGATAATCTTACCTTCTTCCTCCACCTCCTTACAATCCTCTCCTACAATCCCCTCAACAGGCTCTATGGCATTTGGGCTTTCAGTAAACAAGGGTGGCTGTTCTCTAGCTGGATCTGCAAGCACAGGAGGAACAGGACCAAAGGTCACAAAGTTAGTACCAGAAGGAACAGGGTCTGAAAGCAAAAAAGGATAAACAGAGGGCGGAGGAGTAGAAGGTTTAGATCCTCCCTGTTCCAATCTTTTACAAGCTTCTCCTGGATTAGGCCCTTCTTGGTCGCCTTCAAGGTTAGATATCACCTTGCCTGCATCCTGTATCTGTCCCTCATTTGTTGCCATGCTCGGACCAGTGACTTTGGATCATAAGTTCTCATCAAGTGTAAGCATGATGCCATATTGGTTTTTGAGACACAACATATGACTTCCATGTCATGTTTACATCAGCGAATCATGTTTCCTGGTGAGAAATCTATAAAAAATTGTGTTAAAAAGAAAAGGTTATTTTGCTGGTTCTGGAACTGGCAATAACATACAGAACATTGGTTGCATTCGTGAACCTGATGAAACATGAATGCAACCACGAACAGAACCCCTCTTTGGTGAACTAGAACCCAAATTTCTATTTCAAGTTAGCACATTTATTTACTACCAAAAAAAAAAAAGTTAGCACATTTATTTGCATTGCAATTGTGGAATAGACTCATAACAAATGCTATGATTGAATGGAACGAAATGAGTGTACTTTTGCGTGGGCACCAAAGACCATCTTGTTAAACTTAATTGGGAATTCTGTCTTCTACGTGGGTCTATAAAAGAAAAATAGGTGAAAACCACGACAGAAAATTGTCATGTATGTTAGGGTAACATAAGAAATGAAAGGATCTTTATGCTTCTGTTGAGGAATCAGTAATTATTGCAACTAGAGACACATTAATGGTTAGATGCCAGCCTGGCCACTGGGGTTTGGCCCTTTCAAGTTGGTTCTTTTGGGTTGTATTGTAGTGGCCTGATGGTCTCTGTGTGTAGTCATTTTGGTAAGCGAGATTCTGATTTTTCCCTCTATTCTCTTATTCAATATTTGCATTATTAAATAATAATATTCTTGATCTTGTTACTGAGGACAAGATAAGAAATTATTAGATGCCGGATTAAGAATGCATGATTGCCAAAATCATATTGGTGCTCAATTCCGTAATTCCATTATTAAGATATGTGTACTGTTCCGTGCAATTCTTTCCTGTGAAGAAGCATGCATTAATTGACTGGCTTTTTGAATGTAACTTATCCGTCTCTTTTGATGGTGAAGAAACTATTATATATTCAATTAAATGTGGATTCTGAATGGCATGGGTTGATTAGTAATGATAAGATCCAGGAAGCAGGAAAAACATGCACTGAACTGTTTTACATGTATACTTGAAGACTTTCTACTATGAAGTTGGGCTTTCATTCTTGCAGGATATGGACCACCAGATGGAAGATGTCTTCCTTGCTCAAGAGTTTCTGGAAGTGCCATGGCTGCACCATCTTATTCAACTTTTCCACAGGTCAAATCAATGAAAACCCTGGTTCTTGCTTACAAGAGAGCATCTATTGCATGTTCTGCTAATTCCAACAGTCACAGAAGAAACCCAGATTTCTCAAGACAAAACAGACAGGGGATCTCCAGAAGCAGGAATAGACAAACCCCAGAGAGAGAGAGCTCGGAAAACCTTGAAGAACCTGAGCTGTTATCATCAAAAAATGGGCCATTATTCTCACTTTCCAGCAGCCCAAGGTTTCAGGCTACTGCTACCCCGGGTCCAAGAGAAAAAGAGATTGTTGAACTGTTCAGAAAGGTCCAGGCTCAGCTCCGAGAGCGAGCAGCAATGAAGGAAGAAAAGAAGATTGAAGCCTCACAAGGACGAGGTAGGGAGAGTGAAACGGTTGATTCCCTTCTTAAACTCTTACGTAAGCACTCAGTTGAGCAAGGGAAGAGAAGAAGCAGTGGAACAAGCAAAAGCTTTGTCCTGGACCAATCGGAACAAAGCAATGTGTATGATGAAGAGCAGAATACAAGCTTCTTTGATTCGAATAGCATCACAAGGGATGAGGTGCAAGTATCAAGTGCTCCTTCATTTACAAGACCAGCTTCAAATTTCCGACGCAAGTCTCCGGTCCCTAGGGTAAAATATCAGCCTGTTTATTCAACGGAAGATGGTCCAAGCCTTACATTGGACTCTCCTCCGAAGTCATTAGGGAGGAGAAAGAAAAACATGACTGAGCCGAAGTTGAGGCGTGAACCAGAGCCTGAGCCCGAGCCCGAGCTGGAGCCAGAGCCAGAGCGAGAACCAGAGCCTGAGACTGAGCCAGAGGCTATTTTTTCAGATAGTGAAGGGGAAGCATTTGGTGAGTTGGTTGAATCGTCTTCTGACACTGAGGAAGTGTACCATGATGATGAGGTAATGGAGGAACCTACCAACCAGATGGACTTGAGTAAACTAAAGCTTTCTGAACTCAGGGTAGTTGCAAAGTCTCGTGGTGTGAAAGGTTTCTCCAAATTGAAGAAAGGCGAACTTCTGGAACTACTTGGTAGAAATCAGGCTTGATGTCAAACCAAACTGAGTCGGTCCCGTCCCCATAGACTATAGTATTTGAAAGAGTGTATCAGCTTTTAGTTCATTTATCTTCCTTCCTGTCTTTCTGAATCCATAGATATATGCTTTTTTGCTTTCTTATCCCCTACTACTAGTACCTATACATTATGGAATTCCAGGCTTTCCCTTGTTTGGCAGGGATTTTTGAATCAACTGTAGGATCTCTTCCGTCGTCCCTTTCTTCTCTGTTTGCTAATGGGACTATTTTTTCCGTGATATCTCATCTAATCTTGCTAACTGAACTCTGTACAAGTTGCAATTCCTATGCAGATGTATCCAGACCGTAAAATTGTGGGCCCCCTTCTTGAAACTTTGTCAAGAAAAATGAATCTTAGCGGTTTGATAAAGCAGAATAGGCCGCAAAAGTCAAAACTTGATTGGGTGGTTGACGTCAAAACTAACGGTCTAGATCGATGAGTCTGGTCCATTGATTCAACATTCCAGGTCGATGGAGTACCTAAGCTACATGTATCCAGCTACTCGGTTAGAATAGTGGACGATAAAATCAAGGGTTGAGAATTGAGATCGATCAGTTAATATTTTTTTTTTTTTCAAACGTGTCACTTTTTGAAAGGGGCACACTTCCTATGGTGTCTGTGTCTCTTAACACGTGCTCAAAGGGAGTTGGACCTATACTGTTCAACGCATCCTACGGTAGAGATTGCAACAAATGTTATAATAGACGGATTCAAGCTCAAAGGTGATTGCTTGTTCAAGGTGATTTCTTCTCAGTGATTACACACATGTAACATACGATGCCACATGCACCTTGGAGATGGAGGCATATGTTGAAGGATGCAAAGAATATTGTTAGGTCACATAGCCTAATGTCTTTTTTACATGTTAAAAGAAATATTAATGTAGCTCGTATATTTGTTAGATGGTGTATGGAGTATGGTGACTAAAAAAGTATGGACTCGCTTGGAACGATAAGGAATAAATCAAAGCGTTAAATGATTTAAATACCCTTAAGGCTCAGTTTGGAAGGAGTATAAATATAAATATGTACAGTATAAATACATATAAAATAATACAAAAATATAAGGATTTATATTCAACATTTGTATTTGTATTTCTTTTAAACCGAGCCTTAAGTTTTTGACAATGGATAAAAACATCGTTACAATCTTATATAATTTTTTTTTCATTTCAAAACTATTCTTTTGTGGTCTATTCTTCATTGTTCATTAAATTTTCAAAACAGAATCTAACTTACCGATGAAAGATCCCTAAAAGTTAGATTTTTTCTTCTACTGTTGCTGGTTGATTTCAGGTGAATAACACAAAAATTGTGTTTTAGACTTTTAGGTGATAGGAATATTGAAAAACACAAAAAGTTGTGGGAATTTCAGATCAGGGTGGATTTGAAGGAGTAGCAGATCTGGGTAGATCTGGTTTTGGGACTTCTCTTTCTAATTTTGTATTCTTTTAATCCGACGAAAACAGAGCAAAAAAGAGGTACTCTGATGTTTTTTCTGCAGCTGGATTTTGAACTTTGATTGCCCCGTTTGGTTCATAGGAATAAGGGTTTGGAATCGGAATTGGAATGGGCTATTCTGATTCCAATTGTTTGGTTGGGTAGAATCGGAATCCCATTCTTATTTCTGCTGGAATGGCATTCCCCCATTTGAGGAATGGCTATTCCCTGCCCATCTCTTGGGAATGAAATCTCATTCCTACTGAGTCTAATTCCCATTCCTATTTGAATCAAACAGACTATCAGAATAGATCATTCCGATTCTGATTTTAAAAGATTTTCAATTCCCACTGCAAACCAAACGGAAWTTTTTTTTTTTATGCGTCACTATAGGAAATGTAAGAAGAATGTTGATTTTTTTGGCAGCAACATCCACTTCCAACTATCTTTAATGGGCTGTTAATACAAGAAATTATTGTGACCATATGGAATTTTTGGTTCATTCTTGTTGAAATTGTGGAAAAAAAAAAGACAAAATGGAAAAGGAGAAAATAAGGAGAGCTTTAGGTTGTTGGGTTCAGAGTCCAGATGGGTTGACAGAAGCGAATTGAATACAGAGTCACCTCCATGGTCCTTGCTCRAAGAGGAGGCGAACAGGGAAGGGCATGGACATATTAGAAGAAAGCTTTTGAGGAAACCCAATAGAATAGATTCTCTTGACGTTGAAGCAATGGATGTATCTAATTTCCATGATCATCACAAGGTAGCAACCGTAGCATACTCGGTTAATATTTCATATTAGACCCCTTTATCGTCCTCCTTTGTTGGTGCTGGATTTATTTTTATCTTCCATGAATATACCACCTTCTGTCGCAAGTTCAAGGGTCTTGAGGAGTTACGAGTAAGCCAAAAAAAAAAAAAAGATGGTGAGAAATGATTTGAGGCAATGTTTCAAAATCAGACCGGATCGGACGGTCAGATTAAAAAAACCGGGAACCGGTCATTCCGTTTCATTCTAGAACTGTCTTTTGACTAAAAACTGTTGATTTGGTCAACGAACCATTGACCCAGACAATCAAACTATTTAAACCGTCAATCCAAGAATCGGATTCTTGAATGGTTCATTGTCCGATTCAATTTTAAAAATCTTGATTTGAAGACCGTAATTTAACAATTAGATATGGCACTGAACCAAGTAGTGTGTTGTAACAGGATTCATGTTATGGATCATATAGTCAAGACGACTCTTAGTTGAGTTCAGTGTTGCAGCAAYTCTTTCTTTTCTATTTGTTCGGGTCATGGCTGAGCTGGTCCTGCGAGACACGTGGCCGCCCAGCTATCGCCCTGCCACATCATCCTAGTTCGGCCACATCGGCCTAGCTCGGCTGAGCTATAGTATTACTGTAGCCCCCCGTCTTATCCTTCCAGCCACGTCAATTGTACGTCATGCGGATGAGCACAAGTACAGATAAGGAGTAAGGAAAGACGATTCCACTGGGGAATGGGACTCTATCCCGAGTACCTCGGTGGCTAACCTCATCCCGATAACCCCGAAAGCCCAATTTGACCAGGACACGGATTTTTGGCTATAAAAAGGCACTCCATGCTCAAGGTAAGGGATCCAACTTTCGACACCCATACTGTTACTCTGCTCGGACCAGCATCCTCATAGCTCGGCTCGACCACCCACCATCTCTTACTGACTTGAGCATTAGAGTACTTACCCGGGGATAACTCCTCGGGCCTYTGACTTCTTTCTTGATCACAGGTCTTGAAGTGCGGCCTCGCCCTGTCAGCAAGGATTATCTGGTTACTCTCCTCAGTTCGTGACCACCTTGGATTGAACAACATCAGATTGGCACCGTCTGTGGGAGCGCACAAAAAGCCACCCCGAAAATCTTTCCTTACTGCGCAATCAAGAAAGCGATCAATATGCCCAAGAATCGATCCGAGCGTTCAACAAGCCATCCCCGTCTCAGGAGTCTCACCACCGCAGTTCTCCGCATCAAGAAATTCCACAACCCCTAACCGCTGTTGATCCTGAGAAATTCCGAGCAATGCAAGAAAAAGTCGACAAGATCTTCGAAATGGTGCAGAACCTAGGACTCGTAGCACCACCTAGCAAGACCGTCCCTCCTTACGCACCGATGCACACGAAGGATGATCCTCGTCCCGAGGACCCCAAAGCGCTCCGAGCAGACAAGGGCATAGCGCGGTCCAACCAAGAAAAGCATGATACAACAAGAAGGTCGGCCCCCTCCGTCCGCTCTCGTAGCATGACGCACCAAACCACGTGGATCCCGACCGAAGAGAGGCTTGGCAAATGAACGCCACCTCACGTGGTCTCTGTCACTGAGTCCAGCTCCGTAAAGGACCGCGTAGTGCACCCCATGAAGGAAAGGGTGACACACACTACGGCTCCAAACCAAAGGGATGACGAGATTCGAGAACTCCGCCAGCGCTTAGAGGAGTTAGAGCGCAGCTAGAGAAGCACGACGCCAACTGAAGATCGGCCTGCGCCACCACTCGTGCCCATGGGCAAGGACCCACCCTTCACCCATGAAATTGTGGACGAGGTACCTCCCATAGGATGGCGGGCACCCCAGCTTGACAAGTACGATGGAAACACTGATCCTACTGACCATATCGAAGCATTAAAGGCTCAGTTTATGTTGCATGGACCCTCCGAGGGCTTGATGTGCAAAACCTTAGTGGCCACTCTCGCAGGTCCAGCCCTAACCTGGTATTCCTCTCTGCCTCCACGCTCAATAGCGTTGTGGGAGCAACTGGAGACCCAGTTCCGCGCTTAGTTCATAGCGAGTCAAAAGCATTGGAAGACCTCGGCCAGCCTCATGCAAGTGCGACAGAGGAAAAACGAGTCCCTCAGGGACTACTTGGCCAGATTCAACAAGGAAGCACTACAGGTTAGGAACCTGAACCAGTCCGTGGCTGTCACCGCTATCCAGAATGGCCTCCGCCCATCCCCATTTAACTTTTCCATCTCCAAAAACCCTCCGCAAACCCTGGTTGCGCTGATGAGCCGTGCACAGAAGAAGCACAGACAGCTACGGGATGAGGAAGAGAGGCCCGACAAGAGGAGGAGAGATATTGAGGAGCGAAAGTCAAAAAGATCAGACTGGGACCATAAGAGGCAAGACCGCCGACCCGACCACAAACCACGAACACCCCCGCCGACCTATCGGAACTTCATGCCGCTCAATATGCCGCGGTCTAAAGTCCTGATGCAAAGCTGCGACCATAACTACGTCCGTTGGCCCGAGAAGATGAAAATGCAAAGCAACAAGAAGAATCACGACAAATATTGTGAGTTCCATAGAGATCATGGCCACGACACAGAGAACTGCTTCGACCTACACAACCACATTGAAGACCTAATCAGGCACGGATACCTCGGTGGATTCATCAAGAGTGAGAAACCGRCACAGGAAGAATAGCGCACGGAGGATGCTCGACAACCGCCCCAAGCTCCCCCTACTGGTGTGATCCACGCCATATCATGTGGAATCGCCGCAAGAGGGGAGAATAGCTCGGGGCACAAGAAGTATGTGTGACTGTGCGAGATCGACATCCGGGGGCACAAGAAGAAGTGTGGCCAAACCATCACATTCACCAACGATGACCTCCGGGGGGTTCAGACCCCGCATAATGACGCCTTGGTCATCACAACCGAGGTGGCCAACCTCGAGATAAGACAAATCCTGGTTGACACGGGTAGATCCGCCGATGTACACTTTGAGAACGCGTTTGAAAAGCTTAGCATTGACAAAGAGCGCCTCACCC